CGCAGGTCGTTAGACGGAAAGCCATTCGCGGATCGCTTCAAGATCATGTCCTCCATGAGAGAGCAGCACAATGATCCAGCCTTCCAAGCATGTGGCAAGAATTGCGCTCCAGTAGCTGAAGTCCTGGCAACTGCCGAAATCAGACATGTCAGTTCGGGACTGGGTGGGGAGCGGGAGGAACACGCAACGAAGAAATAACAAAATGCTACAGTGGTTCGCAGAGGTTCCATTTTCAAGACATGGGCCACAAAATTTAGCAAATTGAAGCCGATCAGTCGAGAAAGTGCAGTTTGGAGGAGCAGTAAGACCAATACCTCAATCAGGAGGCCAAAGCCATTTCCCGCTAAAGCTGGCCACAGCTCCATGTCATTGAATAGATAGACATACTCCCGATTATCTGCCAGTGTGTGCAGCAGTGTCGCCAAGATCATGTACAGGAGCGGTACGACCACTTCACAAAGTTCCACCAAACCGAAATGGACAATACATCTGGTAAACCCGCCCAGAAGGCGGACATCGGCCAGCGCGAGATCGGCCTCTTGGAGGCTGCGTTCGCTGTGGAGCTCAAAAATGGCGAAGATGTCGCGGAGTCTATCCTGGACGTCGGACATCAAGGACCACTTCCGTCGACCGAGAGCCAGCAGCTCTTTTGGAGAAACTAGTAACGATCCGAAAGTTGAGCAGTAGCAAGAATCGCATGCATGCGAATCGTTCTGGCATGCGTGCTCGATCTCAAGGATGGCTAGCAAATGAAAGCACATTCTCAGAAAGATTGCCACTGCCTTGGCTGCATCCTGGGCAAGCATCAGTGCGAGCACAGTGAAGGACTTGGCGCTGGCTAGCATCGCAGCTGTGTAGAGAAATGACACGAACAGAATCATGACTTTGATCTCGTACAAGAGGTAGACCGGTAGGTCCAGCCACAGCCCAATCCTCTCCATGATGATTGCCGATACTGCGAGCAAACCGTTCATCGCGAAGCTGCTCAGCACCTGCAACACCTCCGTGAGTTCTGGGAATACGGCCAGCCAAAGCATGAACAACATGCTTTGCGAAGGATAAGCTATGAAGCCGAAGGTCACGTACATCCACCACCTGCGAATCTCTGCAGTCATGAGATCTGATGGTATGGACAGACGTGCAGCAATGAGGGCAACTATCTGTGCAGGGATCGCAGCAGTGACAATGAGGTAAGGCAGGGGAAAAAGGCCCTGAACCCCGGCGAAGGTTATGATAGTGACGCAGGCTACTGCGCCAATCGCAGGTAGCCAGAGGCTCTTGAAGCTCATCCTGGACCGCTCGCATGGCGAAATGCTGCGGAAGAGCAAAAGAACACCCGCGCGACTGACAACATACATCATAGAGGGCACCGCGACGAAGTTGAATCGCCAATTCTC